GTTGCACATCAAAGTGGCCAGAGTGTTGTGTCTATTTTTAAAAGAAGTATTAAAAATCAAATTGTCCCCCAAATTGTAAACTAACTGTTACATAGAAGGTCTCTTTAGATGAGAGGTGAGAAGCTACCTTGTCTAGCATGTTTAGGTTAAATAAATGAATGACTACACAGTGTGGGAAACTTCTGTACCTAGTACTTGGAAATGATGATGGGAAATGTGACCTTAATTGGCATGTGCAATCCCTTGTGGGACCACACAAGCATGGCAGTGCCCCACAGTCCTGAGTAGGTAAGGATGATTGTGTTATTCAGGATCTGTGCCAACAGCAGGGTCCCTATGAGAGAGGTCAGAGATCCTTCCTCAGACCCTTGGAGAGTTCACCTAAGAAGTAACCTAACACTGATCAGTGCAGACAAATGCCACTCTTAAAAATAAGCAAATAAAACTAGGATGGTTTCCCCTACAGGAACACTGGGCAAAATCTAACTGACATATTTAATGCAGGGTTACAGCAGTCAGAAAGGGTTCGGCTGGTCATCCCAGGAATTGGGGAAATCAGAGACTCGGGCAGCAGTGAGGGGTCTGTCTGGCCTGGCTGGAAGATGTGGACATGATGGGGGTGGGGGAGTGGGGCAGCGGGAGGCTGCAGTTGTTAAACATTCAGCTTTACTGGCTCTGATTCCAGAGACACTGTTGGTCGGTCACCCGGCTTTGTCAGGCTTGTATCGTTGCTGTACCGGCAGTTACAGTGCTTGTGGTAAATTGGTAAATTGGCATCTAAAATATAACAGAGTCCTATTAGACCTAGCAGACTAACTAAGCCTTCTAAATCCAATAAACTAGGCACTGATGAAAAAGAGCTCGTGTCTAGATCCTATCCCATCCTCCCAAAACCAAGTCCAGTGGAACCTCAGAGGAAGGGCATGTCCCTGCTCTGGCTGCCACAGGAGGATGAAAGTACAGTCCGATGCCTGGCTGGCTGGCACACAGTAAATAATCACTGAAAGGAAATTAAAACCATCACTATTAATCTTTCTTACAGCACTTACTTATTTTTCCAGCTAATATTGATGGAAGCTTTAAATTGTGCCAGGCCCTAGGCAAGTAACGAGAGCCACTTTCTTCCCTGTGTGTGTTATCGGTATAACACCAGGTATAAGTATTCGTATGTCTCATTCTTCTACTAAAAGATAAAACTCTTGGGTGCAGGTTCCATGTCCCACAGCACACCTGTGGCACCACTTATATGGCATGTTTTACTGTCTGCCTTGTCTTACCAAACTATTTACATGTTTTATCTCTCCATAAGGGGGGTAGATTCCCTAAGAGTCCTTTTAATGCTCTATCATGACATTTTACATATTAATCCTTTAAAAGATGTTTTTGAGAAAGTAAATGAATGTTTTTATCAAAAATATTCTCCCCCCGCATGCATTGATTGGCCCGTTCCAGAACTGACTGGAAATTATAACCAATTACTGTAGTAAACAGGATGATTTCTGTATGAAAGTGTTTTGTGGTAGTATGTTATGTTGACATAGATTTACTTACACTTTCACGACTTCTTTCCTTTTAAACACACACTCCCTGGTCAGATTTCAAACCGCCGGAGAAGCTGTGGGGAAACCATCCTTTTATTTTCAATGATACAATAACTTGATGAAAGATGTTTGGAAAATAAGACCTATGCCAATTGGTTAAATAAAAGCATAGGAATTAGACAAGAGGAAGCAGAAAGGCAGTTTAATAATCATTTGATGTTGTTTTAAAAATCAGGCAGAGAGGACCTTGGAAGGCCTCTTGACCTGCCTGCCTCCCTGTTTGCTGAGGAGAGAAGATTTGCCTGGTGACACGAGGTCGGCGGTGCCCAGGACACAAACCTGCCACCCCTGGGCCCAGGTGCGGCCCTCCTCAAGGTGCTGCCATCTGCAGGAGAGGTTTGCTGCAAGCTAGCACAGAAGGAACTCAGTGGACATTTAAGCCACCATCCTGGGCTACCTTTGCCCAGGAAGTAATGTACTGGCTTGAATGTCCTTTTCAAAGAAAAAGTGCATTTTGTGCAAGTCTGACCACCCCACAGATAATAACGGGGAAAATGAAAAGAATGTAAAACTAGCACCCTTGATAGCATCCTTGATGGGACTGCTTACCCATTGTATGTTATGGATGGTAACATAACTGATTTCTTTTACTGAATGATGCTGTATGTGTGACTAGGGGGCAGGAGTGTGGCGGGTTAGTTGCACAGACCACTTTTGCTCTGCCTGAGAAAATGTAAACTGCAGACTGTGAGCTTGTGGACTTCTTAAGGGACTGATTCTGACGGAATCATCATTGTACTTCTGAAGGGTACAGTGAGTTCAGGTGAGCTGTCAGATAAGTAACAGAAATGGCCCAGCCACCTGGGGCCTGCTGCATTCTTCACCTGCCTGGGAGAAGTGGAAAAGGTAGATAAAGGTCATTCCATCAGAAACCCCAAGGCAAATGGAGGGCAAAGTAGCTGATCCCACCCCTTATGAGGTAATGCTTCTCACAGTCAGCCAGAGCCTGAGGCTGCTTTTCTGTCTAGAGCCAAAGAAATGCCCTTGAAGATAAAAGGTTTGATCCCCAGCGATATGTGGACAGCAAACATGAATCACTGTAATGGATTCCATTACTTCTACCATTTGAAACAAGGGGAAGGAATCAGTGTCCAGGACCTGGAAAGGCTGCTTTTCTTGAGCAGAGAATGAGTCCAGAGCATTAGTTTTCATCTCTGGTTGCACATTAGAATCATCTGGAGAGTTTTGAAAAATACAGACGCTTGGGTCCCAGCCCACACTTTCTCATTTAATTGGTCTGAAAGTGGCCTGGGCCTCCGGCCAGGCTCGAGTTAATCACAGGTTTAGATGCTTCCATGTTCGGGGATGGGTGATACTTTCTCTCTGCTGACTAATGAAAGTGAATAGTCCAGCCCAGTCATTTTCTAACGGTGGTCTCAGGGTCAGCCGTAAGCGTTTTCCAGGAACTTGGTCAAAACACATTCTCAGGCCCTACCCCAGGTCTACGGAATCAGAATTTCTGGTGGTGGAGATCAGCCTTCTGTATTGTCAGTAAGCCCCCTGGGTCATTCCAATTCACATCCACGTTTGAGAGCCACTTGTTAAAGTCTGGACCTTACTGCTTAAGTGACATCCTCAGATCCACAGCATCTGCACCTGCTGGACCTGTCACATACATAGGTCGCTGACTCAAAGGAACGTGGTAGTAGATACAGGGGATGTGGCGGCAGTGAGGCAGCTACTGTTTATCATGTAGTTTCTTTGTACTTTATTGATGCAGTTGTATGTAATCCCTGTAGAAGACCAGGGAGAGACCATCCACCCATTCATCCAATCACCCGTTATCCATTCATTCAGCTAGTTCTGTGTTATGTAAGGATACGTACCAGGCACAGTTCTAGGCATATCCCTGTAATCTGGGGATTTGGCCGCTTCTGCCATTATAAGGCTGAGGGCGGATCAAACAACAAGCAGTGAACTGGTTTATAATGAAATCATAGATAAATCTAAGTGCTTTGAAAAAAAGTAAAGCAGGATAAGGCAAGGGGTAAGTGTGGCAAGGAAGTGCTACTTGAGGTAGGGTGGTGAAAAAGAAAACCTCTCCGAGCAGGTGGCATTTGAGCCAAGACATGGAAGAGGCAAAGGCATGAGCTACTCAACTTTTTGAAGGAAGAACGTCGAGGGGACACAGGACAGAAAGAGGATGCAGTGAGGGAGGGGGCGGTGGCTGGAGATAAGTTGTGAAGACAGCTGCAGGTGAGGTCATAAATTGCCTCATAAACCGTGGGAAATCTTAACAAATGAGGAAACTGAGCAGGACTCCTCAGACTTTAAGGTGCCCGTGAATTGTCTGGGACCTTATTAAGCTGTGCTGAGGAGTTGGTGAGTCTGGGGTGAGACCTGAGTCTCTGTGTTCCCAACAAGCTCCCAGGAGATGCCTACACCTGTGGTCTGTGGGCCACATTTGGAGTAAACAAAAGGATAGTGAGGTTGAAAACTTAAGCAACATGCCCAATGTGACGCAGCTGGTAAGTCACAAGAGCAAGAGGTGAATCCCAGATGGCTGACTCCAAAATCCTTGCTGGCCATCGGTTGCCTGCCAGATAACCTCCTTCCCGGCTGACCTGTAGTTACTTGTGTGCAGGCAGTTGGAAGGACCTGCCAGAGAAAGGTCCTTGTGTGCTCTCGGTTTGTAGAAGAGCTGTTTATCCTTGTGTTGAAGGAGAAATAAGAAGTGAAATGAATGCCTGGGTAACTATTGATACTTGGTGCTATTGCTTGTGAAATATTTAAAAGATGTAAGATGTAAGATATCCCTGGCATCGTAGAGACAAATGATGTGGTTGATAATCATGGTGTAATACATGAATTTAAAAAAACCACTAAAATACCCTTGGGTTTCGAAATCCAATGCATTATATTTGTAATAACAGACCCGAGGAAGCCAGTTACTCACCAGACCCTGCAGACACGCTCCATCTGGCCCGACCTTCCCAGATGCCCCTGCTCTGGCCTGTTTGCACATTGCCATTTGGTTTTCTTCTCTGCATGGGAGTCACCAGGCGCTCCCAGGTGTGGATGGGCTCTGGGATGTCAGAGGCACTTAAAGCAGGTCACATGCTCAAATCAGTCCATCTTCAGTAAAAAGCAAAACAAAACAAACCAGGGTGGGGGTGTATGTGGAATTTGAATATTTAGTTCTGAGCTTCCTCCCATGAAAACAGCCGTAACTTCCAGGATCAAACAAATGCTGAAAGGAAAGGATGGCTTCTTGCTTTCCTTTGTTGCTTGATATTCACAGGGTCTCCTTGCACCCAGGGAGGGGGCGGGGCAGGGGAAAAGGGGGAGATGTTCTGTGTATGTACTGTGTATGCCATTGCCTTGATGAACAGTTTGGTTTGGTTTGTTCCCTCCCCTTTCGTTAACTCTGTGTTCTTTTTCCCTTGTGCTGCACGATAGGACCCTGCAGTGGGACACAGACCCCTCAGTGCTCCAGCTGCAGTCAGACTCAGAACTTGGGTATATGTCTGCTCTTTTGCTACTCCTTCTATTATTTCTTTGCTACACTTGTGTTGAAATGCTGGAGCTGTTGTTGCTCTTATATTTTCCCCTTTTGTTGAACTTCCAGTTTGATAAGTTTATTTCCTTCTGTTAGTTTGCCTTATAAAGTGAAGCTTTAAAGAAAGTCTCTCTTTGTGGAAAAAATGCCACAAAAAGATGGCTTTTGGTCCCCTTTTCTTAATTCCCGTTATTGCAATACAACGCTTCCCTCTTCAAACACACGCACACATACACCCCCCAACCCACCCACACCTCTACTCCCCAGGTGGGGCACGTGATATCTGCAACAATGGGAAATGTGTTTGAGTTTATCCTAACCGCCTTCTCCTTTTACTAAGAAGTTGCCTTAGGTTAATTTTTATCTACAATCAGTATTTAAATGTTGTGTCTTATTTGTTTCATTTCATTTTCACTTTTTTGGACACTTACGAAAGCATTTAATTTGAATGGAGTTTGAACATAGCAAGAGTCTTATTAAAGAAAAAGCTAATTTGTTGACTTCCTCAATATTATGGAATCTCAAATACTTGATGATGGGTAATGTTGCCTACATCTTAAAGATCATATATATTTTTTCAGATGACAATGTATTGTCATAGGTTAAAAGATAGCTTCAGATTTGAAAATGTGTTATATATGTACAATGGAATATTATTTAGCCATAAAAAATGAAATCGTGCCATTTGCAACAACATAGATGGACCTTGAGGGCATTATGCTAAGTAAAATGACTCATTAAGTAAGAGATAAATGCCATATGATCTCACTTATATGAGAAATCTAAAAAAAAATAAACAAAAGTCCCTAAAACCCAACAATAAAAACTTCATGGACATAAAGAACAGACTGTGGGTGCTAAGGTGAAAGGTTGGGGATTGCCAGAATGGGTGAAGGGGCTCACCAGGTACAAATTTCCAATTATGAAGTGAATGAATAAGGCACAGGAATGTCATGTGATGCATGACTGTAGTTAATAATATGCATTGCACATTTAAACGTCTCTAGGAGAGTGGATCTTGAAAGCTCTGATCACAAGAAAAAAGTTGTAATTAAGTGTAGTGATGGATATTCACTTGACTATTGTGGCAATCAATATATTTTTGTAATATATATAAATTTTGAATCATTGCACGCATGAGACTAATATAATGTTATTTGTGTTATAGCTCAATAAAAATACAATGCAGGTGTATTGTAGAAAGTTGGCTAATTTATCTTTTTGGATTGAAGTTAGCTGTGGCATACGTGAGATATTTCCAGTGGGATGCCTGTACCAGCTTGTGCTCAGGCTCCGAAGAGCAGACTGTGTGTTTCTCTTCCTCACTTTGCGCTCAGTGACATGAACTTGAAATCTGCCATGGTGGAGTATTTACACCACCAGAATTGGCCAATGCTACAAACCAGGGTTTACTCCCTTTCCCCCAAGCTGGTTATTAAACATTTATCAACACACCACTGGGTCACCTCAGTATATGAATAACAGATCTTATTACAGTATTTTATGAAACTATGTTTTCTTTCTATTTAAATATAACTCAATGAATTCCAAAGTGGATATTTATTTATTTACTTATCATTTATTTTGTATTTCTGAGATTTCTGGGCTCATATCTGTGGGTTCCTATCAATGTCAGTGCCTACTGTAGGCATATGAGGAGGTTGAAGGGCTGTTTGCACATTAGGTTAAAAACTGCCTGCCCATGACCCTTTGGATATGCAGAAGTTCTTGGCAGACTCACAACAGTGCTAGGCCAGTGAAATACCTGAACACTTTAGGTAACGGATACATTATTTTTTAAAAATATCACTTACTTCTTTGGCTATTTAGTTATATAGTTCCTTGTATATTATATTTAAACATGTACTATTTAAATAGCTAAGAAATGTGGCTTAAATGCAGCAGTGAGACGATGAATACATTGGGTGTTATGGGTCAGGGGAGCTTCAGGGTGCAGTTCTTCCCCATGTCATTGTGCTCGAGGATATGAGGGTGGACCTGCCTGAGACTCTACCTGGTGTCTTACACTAACAGATTTTCAGACAGATTGGAGCATTGCGCCATTACACTTGCTGATGTGGAACAGTTAGGAATTTTCCCATTTCTTTCTGTTTTCCAAGCAAAAATCTCAGGTGACCATGCAGATAAAAACCTGTGATTCTTTCTGTGGAGATGGCATATCAGAGGAGCCACCTTGCCTGCCACATTTTACATTGGAGCAAACCCAGCATGTCGGAGAGAGGCAGGATAGGTGACTTTCTGTCCACTGAGTGACTTATCTTAGAGAGTTTGCAAGGAATGTTCAGAGAGTGTTTGACAGAGGAGGCTATTTTGGCCATGTTACAATTTCAAATATTGATTTAATGAACAATTTCCCTTTGTAATAGCCATTATGTGCAGAGCGCTCTTGCTTTCATACATGATTTTATGAAATGTACCTCAGGCAACAAGATTTTTCTAGAGATAATGTTATTTCTTCTTCTTCTTGATCCTTGCCATTCAATTGCCCATGGAATTGGCCATAGCTTGCTCCGACGTTTGATTTGTTTTTAGAGATAGCTTTTTTGAAGTATAATTGATGTAAAATGCACCCATTGAAAGCATTCAAATATTTAATACATTTAATGTGTAAATCCCGCCATGAAACCATCACCACCATCAAGATAATGAACACATTCATCATCCCCCCAAATTGCACATTTTCCTTCGTATTCCTCACTCCTGCTTCTCCCCATCCCCTCCAACAACTGACCTGCTTTCTGTGGTCACTATACATTAGTTTACATATCTAGAATGTCAAAGAAATGAAATCACACAATAGGCACTCTTTTGACTAACTTCTTTCACTGGGAATGATTATTTCAAGATTCACTGTGCATCAGTAGGTCATTCCTTTTTATTACTGCGTGATATTTCCTTCTATGGATATACCACAGTTTGTTTATCCATTCACTGTTTAATGTACATTTGGGTTGTTTCTAGTTTTTGCCCATTAAAAATAAAACTTCAATCTTTTTATAGACATATGCTTTCATTTTGGGGGGTAAATACCACCAAGTAGAATAGCTGAATTATATAATGCATATACATTTCACTTAAGATGCTACCAAACTGTTTTCCCCATTATACACTCTCACCAGCAGTGTGCGAGAGCCTCGGCTCCCCCGCATTCTTGACAATACTTACTGTAGACTTAAAAACATTTTTTGAACCACTGTTTAAAGAGTGTGGTAGTATCTCATTGTAGTTTTGATCTGCATTTACCTAGTGACTACTGTTGAATGTCTATGCGAGCCTTTCCTATTTGAAGATTTTCTCTGATGAAATGGCTACTTAAATCTTTTGCCCTTATTGGTTTTGAATTAGGTTGTTTGTTTTCTCATTATTACTGGAGTTTTAAGAGTTCTTTATATATTTGGTATATAATTCTTCATTTAATATATAATTTGTAAATATTTTCTCCCAGTCTGTGACTTACCTTTTTAATTATTTCAACAGTCTTTAAGACACTCTTTAATTTTGACAAATTCCAATGTACAAATTTGTTCTTTTATGAATCATGTTTTTGTTGACATAATTTCAATGTTCAATGATTCCTTAAATATTTGGTAGGATACAATTCATGTGTGAAACAGTTTGGGTTTGGGATTTATTGTGAGGAAGGTTTAAAAACAAAAGTTCAATAACTGTAATAGTAATGGAGCTATTGCAGTTATTTTTATTTTTCCAAGTTCACTTTGGTATCTTGTGTCTTTCAAGTAATGTGTCCATTCTTTTCTATTTGCAAATTTTTTGGCTTAAAATTGTCCATGTAATCTCTTACTATCTTTTAAATATCTACAGAATTTTTAGAACCCCTCTCATTCCTGATATTGGTAAATTTGTCTTTTTCTCCTGATAAGAATGGCTAGAGGTTTATTGATTTTATTACTCTTCTCAAAGAACCAGTATTTGGTTTTATTGATTTTTTCTCTATTTTTCTATTTCATTGATGTCAACTCTGATCTTAATTAGTTCTTTTTTTCTACTTACTTTGTATTTAATTTGCTTTTCTTTTTCTAGTTTCATAAAGTAGAAGCAATGACTTGTAGAACTTTCTACATGTCATTTTTAGTGACTTTCCAGCTTCATAAAGTAGATCAGTGACTTGAGAACTTTCTTCATTTCTAATATATGTGTGTAGTACTATAAAATCCCTCTAAGTACCGCTTAGTGACTTAGTACTTAAACATTTTGATTTTTTTGGTTATTTTTATTCAAGTCAAAATACTTTCTAATTTCTCTTTTTATTTTATCTTTAACTATTGGATTATTTGGAAGTGTGTTACTTATTTCCAAATATTTAGGGATTTTCTCAGATATCTTTCTGTTATTGATTTCTAATTTAATTCTTTTTTATTAGATAACATATTTTGTATTATTTGTCTCCTTTTAAATTTGTTGAGACTTATTTTTGGTCCATAGTATGATATGTTTTATTGAATGTCTCATGTCCCCTTGTAAAGGATGTGTATTTTGGTGTTATTGTGTGAAATGTTCTATGACTTTCAATTAGGTTTAGGTGTTGATTGTATTAGAATATTCAATATTCTTTATTGCTTTTCTTTCTCCTGGTTTTATCAATGATTGGGAGAGAGGTGTTGAAGTTTTCAACTGTAATTTTGGTTTTTCTATTTGCAATTCTATCAGTTTTTGCTCCATTTATTTTTATATTTTGTTATTATGTGCATAAATGTTTGGATTCTTATATGTCTCTTGTTGAATTAATTTCTTTATTATTATGAAATGGCTTTTATCCCATGTACTGTATTTTGCTCTGAAATCTTTGTTGTTGGATATGAACATAACCAGTGTTTTACTGACTGGCATTTAGCACAGTATATCATTTTCCATCCTTTTACCTTTTAACCCATTCATCTATTAATCTAAATGTCAATATTTAAAGTGCATTTGTTGTAGG